GCCACTACTAGCCACTTTCATACCCTGAATGAAAAATGAAATAATGAGTATTTCATATGCATATTTGTGACCGATATTCAACATAATGCAATGCCATAATAAATAGTTATTGTTGCTTAAAACATAAGATTTGAAGGACCTATCTGAATAGAACTGGACCACATCTTAAGCTCGCTTCTGATTAAAAACTGAGCTGCTTTTTTTTGTTTGTTTTTTTGTTTTTGGTCGTGGGTTTCAGTGCGCTGCCGACATCAGGGTGGAGGGTTGGTGGAGATGTGATTGTGCTTGACAAAATGAGCTTGATGCGAACTTTGAAGCTGTCAGGCCTCTCAACACCTTGACAGCAACAGATAAAAAAAAAAAAAAAAACCCGTAACCTCCGGGGTCTCACGCTCACTAAGGGTGTCAATGAAGCTGTTAAAGCCTCAGTTACTTTGTCAGCCTCGTTTGCTAAAGCTACTCCTGGAAGCCATTAAAACATATTTACTTGTTTTACTTTTTTTTTTATAACGCAGAAAAGTCCTGGCTGTTTTTGGCTCGTCAATGGAAGATACTGAAAAACGTGAGTCACACACTGCACCTGAACTTCACAAAGAATCTTTAATTATAGACATAAAGTGCTGCTGTAGGATGAGTCAGAGGGATGTGTGCAGATAATATGAAGGGGTCAAGGCTCTGACTTCTTTTAGTCTCTGCAACTAGCTGAAGAGAACACAATTGCAACCTTTTTCAATAAAGCTTGTAGAAAAAGTTCAAAATGGGCTTGGTGATAATTGACAAAAGAGTGATTTCAAAAGCTTGATGTTTGTTTGAGCTTAACTACAAGACACTTTTAGTCCAGTTTTTTTTTTTTTTGCAATTACACTTAAGCCAAGAGGAAAAGAGAAAAGGGAAAGCACATGTTGAAAATATGAAGTCATTATGTCCTCATATTGAGGACCCTCTCAGAGGGAAACAACTGCATTGCTCTAAAAAAACATATTATAGATTACTTTTGCATTTTTGCTGTCATATATCACACTTAATTGCTTCAGGTCATCAAAATATTTATATTAAAGAAAAGGTAATGCAATTAAAGAAAAAAAAAGCAGTTTTCAAGCCGTGATTAAGGGAAACCAAGCTAGATTTCTGTCCTGCAGAATAAAGAAATCACTTAAACAGAATTTGGATGGCAATTTTCCCCATCATAAATTAATCATTTGAAAACCTTTTTTATAAGTTTGTCTAATTCTGGAATGTGTTTGATATTGAAACATTTCAACATGACAAGCACTACAATACATTTGAGGGCACTGTGTCAGTCGCTATGTGCATTATGAAGCTCAGCAAAAGCAAGTTGAAATGAGTGAATGAACTTCATGTTCTCTAAATTTAGACAAAAGCAGTCGAAAAGGAGGGTGGAGGAGGCGGAGACGCATAAATCTACAAGTTGAAGTGACCTTTAAATTTCATGCTCAACTTCCTCTGTCCAGGTTGAAAAGTTGAGAGGTTAGCAGGTTAACACCCTCATTAGTCAATGGTCTTTATGATTAAGCTAATGATTGCCAATGCTTGTGTTTAACCACTTCAGGCTACGTAAGATATCTAAAGACATATTGATTTATATTGTTAGTTGATAAATCATAAGAGGCATTACTGTTCATTTATCAATATAGCTATTATGTTCATGTTATCCTTGTTATATGCTCCACTTCCGTCTCTGTGTTTAAATAAAGACACTATTGCAGTACAGTATTGTTAGATACTGAGAAGTAGTGGTTGCCAATGGTTCCGTTTTGGTCATCAGTGTTTTATATGACAGCTTTAAAACTTATTCCAGCTGCAGAGGCCATGTGCTTGTTTATTGTAAGAGGCATCTTTAAGTGTTTTTCTGGCGCAGCCCACAATGCATTCACCAGTTCAGACTTTTTCCAAAACACATTTCAAGGGTTCACAGCCTTGTGTGAGCCTGAGGCACTTCTGTCTGCCAGACACCGTCAGTGAGGAATTAAACAGGAGGCACTTAGGCAACTTAGATATTTGAAAAACCTGGTTTGTTTAAATGCTGTTGCAAAACGGAAATGTATACTTGAAAGGGTGATCCAAATGTTCTTTTGTGCATCACATTAGGCTAATTTGAAGTTTGAAAGATAAAAAAAAAAAAAAGAGACCGACACAAAGTGCCAAGTTACTGTGAGGGGGACAGAAAATAAAGCAAGGTTTTCCAAATATTTCACAAAATGAAACTTGGAAAAAGTGTGGAGTGCATTTGTCTTTGCATTCACCCTCCACTCCCCTTCACTATGATGCACCTAAATAAAATCTTGGTCAGTAATCTAATTGGCAAACATGCCCACTCCTCTGGCGGGAGAATCTGTCAGCACTGCTATTAGTCTGGCATTCACTGATCACATCTTTATGGAAGAGGGCCAAGAAGAAAGCTTTCTTTGAAATAAAGCCATAAAAAATCCCATTTGCAGTTTATAAGTCATGTTGGGGACACCGCAAAATGTGGAGGGAGACGCCCTGGCCAGACGAGACCGACACTGATCTTACAGATCAAAACGGCATGTGTGATGAAAGCTTAACTTTATAAATGCACCTCTTCACTGAAACATGGTGCTGGCAGGATCAAGCTGTGAGGAGGATTTTGTCCATCAAGGACAATAAAGGAAAACCATCGGAGTGAAAGATCCAGGGAGAAAGACTGAGAGTGGGGCTGAGGTCCAGCTGGACAATAACTTTTAAGACATGGCTTGAGCTAAATTGGAATAGATTAAACTTTATTCATGTTTACATGGTCTGTACTCCTTATGCTTTATATAGCCAGGGGTGTTTTGGAGCTTGTACTCTGTAAACATTGCTGTTATTCACATTATAACGCCATTCTGTTGTGTGTCGAAAAACAGATGGCTCTGTCAATCATTTATGAAGTTTATGGTTTCTCCATGTCTTCCTCCTTTAGGTGAAAGCTGCATACTAGGATTACCTAGCCTTTGTTGTGTCCAACATGGCAAATATTCCTTTTCCATAAGCATAATCTATAAAATAAAAAAAGTATATATATCTGAATCCAAATCTAGACTTAAAATTAAAGGAAAAAATAAAAGGTGTGAATGGAAACTGAATCTCTCAGACACAGTCCAGTTAACAATAATGAAAATCTAACGTTTACCTCGTAAATAAAGGTCGACTAGGTAGATAATACTTCAAATGATGAAATCAGATCAATCAAAAAAAAAAAAAAAACAGTTTTGGGTTCAATTAAAAAAATATACAATAGATTTGAAACTTTGTCGTTTGGATTTGCATTTCTTTAAAAGCCAATCAACATTCTGAGAGAAAGAGTGACAGACGTTTTTATAGACTTTATATGAAAAATGTGCTTCAGCTTGCACAAATTTGTAACAATTTCACATCCATGGAAAAAAAAAAAGAGATATTTGCAAATCTTATTCAAAATATTAAACATCAACAAAAGGTTATACTGTTCTGTTGGAGAAATAATCAAGTAGTTGCCATCAAATTAAAATGTGCGAGCAGATATGCATTCACTGACTCTCTTTGCAGAATTCTGTATTCAAGTATATAAATAAAAAGTTGAGTGAAAGGAAAAGATATGGTAGAAAAGATTTAAAAGCAACAGAGATTTAACAGTGGAGCAGTTTAGGACTACAGTGTCTGTGCTTCAAGAGGCACACAGAGTTATCTAGGATATAGGTTACAACTTACACATTGCTTGTGTTAGGCCATTTCAGGGACAATGTCAGGATCATCTTCTGTAAGCTAAAAAGAAAAAAATATGTAACTGTTGACCAGTGGTCCGAGGTTTTCCAGTACATTTTGTATTTCATCTTATTAATCCGCTAAATGTGAGCCATGTCTTATGCTGGTGTTGGTCCAACGTGTTTTATGCACATTCATGCTTAAGCAGTCTGCAAAAATCTAATTTTCAGATAAATTATTATGACTACGACTTCAAGCTATAATCAGCAAACACACCAGATATGCAATAGTTCTGTGTTTAATGGATTTATGTAATATACGAGTTTCCTTTTTTGAATTTCTGAAATATTAATGATATTTTAACCCACCAAGAAGTGTCCACATACACTTCAAGGCAGACAGGATTCTGGAAAACAAGTTTCAAAAGCTTTGCCTACAACATGGCCTCAATAGATTCATGTCTGGATTTCCTCACTCTCCGACTAAGCTAACATGGAGCAGCTGTTTGAACTCTTTAGACTGCAAGCAAAATGACAGAGGAGAGACACGACATGCACCAGGTCATTAGACGAGAGGATGGAGTCACTGTCAACATTTGCACTACGCAGACATGATGGGGACCCTATTAATCCGCTAAATGTGAACCGGGGGTGTCCGCACTTGTTGAGCCATTTCTTTCCGTCTCTCTGTGTTGGTATCGAAACATCTTTGCTGACAGGGTTAACTACAGAACAACAATATTTAGACTGACTCCTTATGACCAGGACTGCTGAGTGTTTACAAAGTTTGCCAGCAGTTTTAAAAGGATTTCCTGGATTTCATGTTGCTTACATTGTCCATTCTCTGTAACATCAACACTCTTTACTCCTCTTAATGTGCTTTTTTTGTTTTTGCTCATGTACATTGGGATATTTGATTTTTTTTTTAACTATTATTTATTTAGCACTCTTTTAGAAAATAGAAACCAGTTGTAACATAATTGACAAAAATCTAAATTTAACAAAGCTGACTGAAGTACACTATAAATCCCTTTGCTCAAAAGACAGTCTTCCCTGACAGTAGTGGACAAGCCCATTGTTGATATAGCTAGGCTTGTTTTTTAATAAGAAAAAAATAGTTCACATATAAAAACAATATCTGATTCATGCCCATTGTGGCTGATTGACATACTAAGGAATATATTGAAACAGATTGCTGCGTCTAAGCTGAGACAAGGGGTCACAGGCAGGATTTTACTCCTAAGACCAAGGCCTGGAAATGCAGTCACAAGCTTGGGGAAATGAGAAATGCTCTCTAGCATAGATTTTATCTGCGTCAGCATCAGTTTGAAAAGCTTGTTGCTGAGGTAGACCTCGATCCATCCACCTTTTTTGTGAACTTTGAGCTATGGAGTGTTTGCTAAAGGTGTAATTCTAGCTTTCCTTGCACCATACTTCAGCAACCACCAGGTCTCTGGTCATCAGTCACCATCAAGAAAGGAGCGCTCGTCCTGTGAAGGCAAACAAAGACACCCACTCCAAACACCTTTAGCTCAGCTCGCCTGGGTTACCCGTGGTCCCTCCACTGTGGAAGTCCAGGGCCATCGGCTGGGGTCACTGAGGTTGAAATAACACCACTACTTCAGTTTGACCCACCCAATTAAAGCACGACTGCCATTTCTCATTTGATCTCCCACCAGATACCAAGTCTCTGTCCATTCAGTGATAGATTTAGAATGTGTTCATTGTTTATCTTATAACCCATCTCATGGAATCACCCCCAAGAAGCCACATGGAGAGACTGCAAAAAAAAAAAAAAAAAAAAAAACTTTAGGTTTGGAGCAAAGCCAGAATTAAATGTGACATGGCTTACTTCAGTTGACTGCAGTGACTAATGGATACAATCTAGAAAATTGTTAATTTCATGCAAAGTTTGTTTCCTTTTGTTTCTTATGAATCAATAATCCAGTCACCTGGCACTGACTGAAGAATTTATGTCACAGAAAGAAAAAAAAAAAAAAAAAAAAAAATTTTAATGGACAAAGCCAATAAACCCACTCACCATCTTTACTTTGAGATCCTCGTTTTCATCTGAACATTCGTGTCCTCAGTTGTGCCATGGTTTCAAATAATTTCCTTGCCATTTTATCTGTGTAATTATCCTCATATGTGCATGCTCTCACAAGCTCATCTTAAATTATCCACATATTTTCATTTCCAGCTCGAATGTGGGAAGAGCATCTGAAGCACATAAACGGATGTGCAGCAGTGTAACCACTGCTCCAGTATTCCTGAACTGGAGCATCTTTTCACTTTCGCGTTGCTCTTTAATTTAGAGGAGGTCGGCTCTGATCTGAAACCAACATGTCAGACTTATGAGTTTATAATTACACAAGTAACATTTGTCTCTGTAACTTGTTTTCTCCAATTTGGAAAGTGCTGCTAGGCTCTAGCTCTGAATCAGGATGAAATTTATATTTGTACTAATTTATTTCAGACAGGAGATGACAAATTTATATTTTTTCCATGCTGCATATCCAATCTGAAATAAATAAAAGGGTACATAAAAAAGGTTATTCTAATTCAAAACCAGTAAGACTTTTTTTGTACTTGTCCAATTTTTAAGTGATTTTTCTGATTTATAACAACCAGGTATTTTAAATTTGCTGCAACGGTATTAGAACATAATGACTAAACCCATGTAAGAATGCTTTTGCAATTTCCATATTAGAAGCTACAAATTACAAGTATCAAATAGAAAAGTACAATGTCAGTATTACTTTCTTAAATTCAAATATTTAGTTACTAAAAATATAAGTTGAAAAGACCAGTAATAATAAAAAAAATAAAAAGACCCAAACGATCTACCTCTGAGTGGCGGTCCTACACAGAGCATTCGTATAATATGTCCAAATAACTATCAAGATGGCAGACCCATTTGAAACAGTACAAACTATAATATTTAATTTTATTGTGCAAAAATGTAATTTTACAATTGATTTCCATTTATTATTTTCCCATTCTGTGATTATGACAGGTGGGATGTTGCCACAGGTGCTAAATTAACATCTTGTTTTAATTAAGTCTAGAGTTTCAGAAGCAATGCATTGAATCAACTTTTACTCCAGTTGAGGTGACCGTCTGCACAACGTAGCACAGATTTTTGACCTTTATTCACAAATGTCACAGAACATGTAAAGCAAACTTTCATTTCCTCTGGCTGCATTTGTTTTGACATCTGATTATGTATGATAAGTGACATGAGGTAAGCTCTGCACATTTGAGTGCATGTCTGTGCAATTAGTTTTGCCAGTTTAGGTTTGAGGATTTAAAAAGAAAAAAAAAAACTGTAATTGTCAACTTTTATATATGCTTATGTCTCCATATGGCTGTGAATTCTGAATGGAGTCTTCTGTGAACGGCGAGGGTCCAGTGACAGGATGTAATGGCAGGGTTCTTAGGTCAAAGGTACACATCTGTAGCTTCGCCCAGACTGTGCCGACTGCAGTCAAAGTGGGCAGCCAGCCGCACTCTAATGTGTATTAGCAAGACAAAAGGTGAGAAGAGAGGAGGGCATAAGATGGGCTTTGATTTCTCTGAGATTTATAGGCGTGATGAAATCAGCTCTGAAAAAGCTGGGCCTGCCCATTTGCTCAATCGTTTAGCTACATCTGAAGGCACTTGGGTTTGTTCAAGGAGGCAAACATCCCCCTCCAAAAAGACAGCAAATCTAAAGAGAAAAAAGAAAAGGGTGTGCTGCAGCCCCTTTTGAAGTTCCTCATGTCCCATTCAGAGACTCATCTACTCTCCCACCTCATTGTGAGTCCTGCTTCTCAGCTATCCTTGCCTTCCTGAAAAAAATTCCCATGTGTAGACAAAATGATTCCTGGGATACCAAGAAAACACTTGGTAGCCAAGAGATAAATGTCAGTAGCTGCTGTTTAACAATCTTACTCTAAGGAGAGTCAGCCATGTGGTTGAAAAATGCTGGCCTTTATCAAGTAGTAAAACAGCGCTGATGTATGTGTATACAGCCATCACAACACCCAGAGGATGGTGATAAGGGTGTCTTTCTCCCAATTTCCTTTCCTCCATCCTCCATGTCCTGCAGTAAATACCAAGTGCCCCTCTGCGACCCACACAGTGATAAATAACCCTTAAGGTTAACTACATTTCAAATGGAGCAGGGAGGCCATTATCGGCCTCCAGAGTTTTCTTGACATCCTCAATATGTTATCTGTGAGCCCAGGGACTTTTACCAGACCAACACTAGCTGGCTTTGCTCTTTTTGTCGGGTCTGATAAATTCAAGAGAGAACCTCTTTAACCATCAAGCAGTGGAAACAATGTTAATCTGGTGGATCCATGTTCAGCTGCCTCAGCTTGTAGCTGTGTAATCTAACATTAGGTGCCTTGAAAAAGTATTCGCACTCCCTCTACTTTTCAAGTTCAACCCCTAACCTCAGTGCTATACAGAAAATGTATAGCTAATGCTAAATTTCAACACAGAGAATTCATATAGTAAGACTTTCTACAACTAATCTGAAAAATGTGATCCTCTGTTGTCCTGCAATTTTTGGATGAATGGTGCTCCAATACTCAAACATTAATGACAAAACTTGCTGACATGCCATGGAGGTTACTTAATTTTTCAATTCGGATGCGATGGAGCAGGGATGCCACCAAAAGTTGCAGGACTGCGGCACTCGAGGACTTGATTTGTAGACCCATGTTGATTTGGGATACATTTCTACATTTAAAAAGTGAAACTTTTATTTAAAAAAAAAAACAATATAGCTTCAGCTCAGCCAGATTGTATGGTGAACATCTCTGAAGATGGTCAATTGGATATGTTGTAGACTATACACTGAACGCTTTGATGCAACTCATGTGATGCAAAATTACATTCTCCCCTTTTTGTTCTTCCATTAAATATTATTTTATTGAAAACAGCTTGATTTCCCTTTAAAGTCACACTAAAGTTATTAATGTATAAAACTTATATCACCAAGATTTAAGATTAATCACGATGTGCTGATATTCTGGGAAGTGACCCAAAAACAAGACAAGGACATACAAATACAAAAAATGAATGGTTAGTCCACCTTCACATTTACTAAGGAGAAAACACAATCCAGAAGCTGGGCTGTGTAAAAAAAAAAAAAAAAAAAAAAACTCTTTAAGGACAGCAGGAAGTAATAAAACTGTAAAAACAAAATACAAAAATTACTAAATGCTTATAATGAACACTTTAATATAATCATTCTAAGACAAATGAAAAATACTGCATACCTGTGTCTCTTAAGCCAACACTGAAAATCAAATCCAAAGGATCTGGTGTAGCACTACCTGACAAAAAAAGCAAAAAACAAAAACAAAACAAAAGCAGTATAAAAACAAAAACATACAATGCAATCAGATTAAAACACAAATCAATAAAGCTTACCTGCAGCGTCGAACAGCTACACAACCAGGCAATGCTACCATCCGGAACGTCACTAATAGTGTGGCTCTGTATATATAAATTATATAATTATATAAAAACATACATGCAAAAACAAAAACATATACATGCTAAATTATAAAAACTGTGGATTTAAAACCGTTTTCCTCCAAACCTACCATGGTCGCCAAACATTGGAGAACGCATGGGCCCAAAACACACCTGGTAACACAAACAGGAAATTGGTCACAACCCTGCCAGCTTCCCTTTTATGGAAGCTCAGGCTATAAGGAAGGTGTGACACCTTATGGTGCCACCTGTTAGACATCCATAAGTGAAGGCAGTTATGCTTTATTTGTGTGTAAATTCCAATGGTAGCTCTATGGTAGCATGAAACCATGTGCCGCAGTAAAGTTACAGTTAAGCTTTCCATGCTACTATTTATTTTTAAGCATTTTCCAGAAGGCAGATTTTCACAAGCCGATATTATTGAAGTCTTTAATCACCCGTTTTGTACGTGCAAAATACGTCCAACACAGCGTTCACACTCGCATCCAACAGACTTTGTACATAGACATATATATATAGACATATATGTCTATGACTTTGTACGCCTTAATTCTTCTTCTTCTTCTTCTTCTTCTTCTTCTTGAAATTTATTGGCGGTTGGCAAGAAACGTAAGCTGAGCATTACCGCCACCAACTGGTAAGGAGTGTATGTGCCCCTCTTTCTTCCTCGGACGTGGTCTTTAACGCTGATTTCGCCGTTGTTTCCCGCTAACACTGTTGGAGGTTTGCTCTACTTCCGCCTGGGGGCGAAGCTAGCTTCATAATAGCTAATTAGAAAGAAACATAAACTCTTACTATTGTTAGATTTTTTTGTTGTTGTTGTCATTTTACTCTCATTTTATCCAGTGGAACATTTGAACATTTGAGAACTGACATCCATAAACCTCTAATCAGACTTAATTAACCTTAGTCTTATTTAGAAACCAAATATACCAATATATTGTAGTGCCACCTTGTGTTAGCATGATAGGATCAGCTTTGGATCTACCCAGAATTGCGAGTTATTAGTCCCTAATGATTTCTTTACTTTGTTTGATTTTCTTTGTGGTGATTTTAAAGATTTTATTAGATTTGAAAAAAATGTTTTCATTGTATGGTCAGATGCAACAACCACATTACATAATGGTTGGTTTAATTCCTGTGCTCCATGTTGTAAAAAATGTCAAATATTTATAGCAAATGGTTTGTTGTATTTTTTTTTTTAATTAAAGAAGCTGTAATGTCTGCAAATGTGTGCTGTAGGCACCATCTAGTGGAAATACAGGCTTTCTTCAGAAAACTGCATTACATCCACATTTATAAACTGGATTATGGTTCCTTTACCCTTTACCATGTATTTTTAAATTGGCAAATTTGATTTAGAGACTGTGCATTATATGTGTGCATGTGTGTATTATCCAGCAAATTCTTCTGTTGTGAATGAATCTACACACCAATGAGATTTGGGGAAAGTCAGCATTAAGTGATTTTACACTAACAGTAGCGACAGGTCGCAATAACTACAAGTAATGCTATTAAACGTTTGCAAATGTTGAAGATGTAAATTTAGAACTATATCATATAAATCTGAGCTTTTAAAGATAAGGTTTGGACATCTGTGAAACTGCCAGAGCTCCAAATACATCAAAATGCCTTGTTTGCAGTTATGTGAATCACATTTGTATATCTTCATTGATTGATGTTATTTTGATGAAATAATGTTTTCACATTTGATTCCAAGTTGCATCTGCATTTGATGAGCATGTTGACTGTATGTCTGTCGCCAGGGGGCGCTGTTAGCAAATTCAAAGTTTGAATCTTGTCTCTGTTTTAGTTGTGCTAAGAGATACTGCCCTGCAATTATTATATCTCATAGTGTGGCATCACATGTTAAAATGTAGTTTTTAATTGTAATTATTTCAATATGTCATCACCAAAATGTCAATCATTGATAAATTTCATAGGTAAATAATTCATTTTAATCCAAAACCTCCACAAATTGATACAATTGTTGTCAAATTGCATTTTGTATGTAATTATTTTTCCAGATTTGATTGGTTACATAACTTCAACTTAAACAAAAAATTAGATGGTTCAAAATTTTGAAGTTCTTGTGGATTTTCCCCTCATCCAAGCAGATTCAAAAAGAAGCTCAGATGTGGACACGCATAATCACATCTACAACTATCTTTTAACAAGAGTATTCCTTTCTCTAGCCATGTGTTTTTAACAGTAATTAAGCAATTAAATTTAAAATAATTTCAAAGTCAGAGCTTGGGGAACACTAATTCAACTTGATGCTAGTCTGCTTTATACATTCCTAATTGTTTTATGGTTTACCAGAATCACTGATGTTCAAATTTGAAAGATCTAGTTAGAGATTTGAGGTGGAGTCAACCAATGTTGATTGTCCTCCTTCATCAGATTTGTTTCCTTTATGCAACACATTAATATCTCTAACAGTGATGCTGTCCCACATTATGATGACCTCACCACGATGCTTGTCATATTGTATAACCTTTGAAAGCCTTATCTTCACTCCTTTAAACATTTTTTTTTTCTGAGCCCTCCCATAGATCAAAGTGATGTACAACTGGTGACACTACAGACATTATTTTAGGGCCTTGAGATGATATTTATATGTTTAAGTTGCTCTGCGAATGAAATTAACATAAAGTTTCTAAAAACTTATTCAAATTGCTCACTCAGACACTTTAGCTAAAATAAGAGGTTAGAGGGTAATTTGTAGCCCACTTCAATGGGCTCAGTGCTCTAAGCAGGAAGCTGGGGTGCCAAGTGAACACACACAGGTGATGACTCCCTATCATATGACATTCATGCCCACAGTGAGTTGATGTAAACTTCTGAGCATACCTGAACAAATAACTGAAGTCTTTACTGAGGAGCAACATTTATTTCAAATGGGTTATTCAAAATACAAAACAAAAAAAAAAAAGAAGAAATTACAGTTTAGCTAGGCAAAAGAAATTACAAGCAAAGACACAAGTATGAATACATGGGTCAAAAATAGTAAGTAAAGAAAGCACAATTTTTAATGTTACAAAATTTAAAACATTTTTATTTGGAATATCAAATAAAATGCCAAATTAAAAAAAAATAAAAAACTTCAAGATTTTATTAACACTTTTTTCCTTTTTTTTTCATACATACACACATATTGTAGTAGGGTAGTAAGGCACAATGTTAAAAGCATCTGGCATTAAGTGGAGGTAAGACAATAAAAAAAGACAGAGCTTGATACACTGGAAGCCGAAGTGACATCTCTTTGGTACAGCTGCATGATTTGGAAGAGACACACTATCAATGAGAATGACAATGTTAACTCGACAACATTATGTACAAAAAAATATGTAAAAAAAATGTTATAAATATGTCTAAAAACCACAGACACTATTTACATCTTCACACTGAAGGAAGGTAGGACTATTCAACGTTTCACACTCGGTGGATTATTTTGGGATGTTGGGAAATCGATTGTCAACAAAACAGCTGTTGGAATCCACAAACGATACTTTCGACATGTGATGGGAAAACTGTATTGCTTGGATGTCAGTTCATTGTCTGTGAGTGCAGTTGGCACAGTGCGATGTTGTGATGACGAGTCTCCAAACTCTTTTCTTTTCTCCCCCAGCTTTCTCTGCTCTCAATCCTTCTTCCTCAGTATGAGATAAATGAGACCACTGATGAGACTCAGAGGGAAAGCCACCCAGGCCAGCACGTAAGAGTAGCCATAGTCTCTCTCACTCCTTGGTCTCATCACGGTGTAGATAATCGCTGCGCACATCACAAAAACACCTGGGAAAGATTTTATTTTTTCAAAATGAGAGAAAGAGAGAGAGAGAGAGAGATCAGGAGGGTTGCAGATGATGTCATAGCTCAGACTACTTCCTTTCAGGGTGTAACCCCTCTCAGTAATAAAGTCATACTCACTCGCCAAGATCTGGAAGATGGAGGTGAAGTAGAAGCGTCCGCCCTTAAACAGTCTGAACAGCTGATAAGCGAAAGCTAACAGGGAGACGAAGCAAAAGACTACAGCCAGGATCATCAGGGCCTGCACAGCCTGGATCCAATCTACGGAAAGGAGAAAGAATAATTTTCAATCCTCATAATCTATAACAACAACAAAAAAGGTTTGTTATTCTGGAATGTGCATAAACCTCCAGTGCTGGCCTGTAAACAGTGGTAGCCGTTCTGATCTGAGTGGCAGTTATACCAAAGATCGGTGTGTCCTTCTTTTTCTAAACTCCATTGCTAAAAAAGAACAAAAAATAAATAAATAAAAAAAAATAAAAAATACAAGCAGTCATAAGCACAAACGTTTTATTCTTGTTTCCAAAAACTACAACACCAAATTGCCACACAATAAAACAGCTGCAGCCCTAAATAGAATGCGTCGCTTACACTGGATGCTGTAGACACAATGAGGAGAATGAAAACGAGGAGGTGCAAAGCAAGCACTCCCAAAAGAATGCACAGCATGTTGGATGCAGATCTGGAGAGGCATAAGAAAGCAGAGGTAAGAAAAACATCGATTCATTCAGCAGCTCAGCACAAGTATTTACTCATTTCGACACCAGGGGGAGGCATTTCCTCACTTCTGCACCAACCGCAATGTTTACCTCAATGTGAAAGTGTCCCATTACATCGAAAGGAAAAAGAGAAAAAAGACACTTTTTAAAAGTATTTTTTTTTTCGTTTCATGAGTAAAGTATACTAAGATTAAACGAATCTAAAAACACTTTATGTCAATTCAAGACGCCGAGCCACGTAATTATTTAAATGTGAAAATTACTTAATTACTCAGTCTTATAAACAATGTTTTCATAGTTCCTTCTAGCAAATATAACTTTACGAGAAAGCTCTGCTTGAAAAGTTTTTTTTATCGACAGTCTGTTTTACGAGCAGTCAAACTCAATCCATATGCGAGGGAAAATATCCCAGTAAGCGCCGCCGCCATGCGTAAACTTGGTTCGTCTCTGTTTTGTTTTCTCAAGAATTAAAAGTCAAAACTACGACAGCCGAGACACGTAAACCACCGAGATTTGAGCTCACGACATCATTTTTGTATCGGTACAGTAAATCCAAAGCGGTTTTGAAGTCCAAGAAGACCTGATAGCTAAGTGAAATAAATGGTTCTTTATGAACATATACACATAACACCAAATTGAAATAAAAACAAAACATACATTTAGTGCCTTCAAAAAAAAAAAAAAAGTTTCAAAACTTAAATCCAACTTACAAAAGGTAGAGCAGAAGTTTTCAGTGAAAAAGGGCGTGTTGAAGAGAAGTGAAGAGTTGGGAAAGAACCGTAGCGCTTCTGCTCCTCTCGCCTCTCTCTCTCTGCAGTTACTATTCCAGATGTGTCTCATGCAGCCCAATCAGTCTGAGAACACCGCCCTGCAGGCCCTGCACGTCACCGGAGGTCTGCTCCTTTCCACCCCACTTCTTTCTTATTCCCGCGGAATGATATGGGCTGTGCTGAAGTTCGGAGGGCTGTACAGGGTGTCCAGTAGTATTTTGTTTTCTTGCTATAAAGTCTTGGAAATGCAGGAGGCGTTGGTCGGCTCAGTATTTTAAAGCGGAGCTCTCTGCATTGTGCGTGGCTGACACACCTAATAAAGTTGCATGTTGAGTCTTCGTTTGTCTTATCCTTTCATAGCTCATTAGAAAAACTCAAGTCCTTTCTCTCATGGTTTTGGCTGTTGACAAATTGTGCGTCTTAATGCGCATTCCCTTTTATTGCACCAATAAAAACAATTTAACTCGAAACAATAAAACTGGCATAGCATTATGTTTGCATAAATAAACAAGGCTTCTTTCAAAAGTCTCCCTATCAGAAAGGTAACTTTTTGTTTCAGAGCTAAAAAAACATTACGGTCCAACCAACAGTAGGACAATCCCACCCAAATAATACATCAGCTTTAAAATCTGTCATAGTCACGCTTGGGATTTATTAAACAGAATGTCATGATCTTTTTCAGATTATTTTACAATCCAGATAAATCACAATTTAACTGGATGAAATTTGCCTCCCAAAAATAATTCCATGAAGTTTGGAAGCGTCACAGAGAGCATCCGTTACAGAGCAGGAAGTTGCTGAGACTAGACTGTATGCTTTCGCAGCTATTTCTGTTTTGAACAGCTTTTTGCACTAATATTTCTTCGTCAGTGGTTCTTTCTTGTATTCTGTACAAATGCAGCACAGTTCACAAGAATTCTGTGACAAGCATTTGTTTCCAGATAATTTAGCAACCAAAAAAAGCAGACAAGTGAAAAGGACCAGCATGTTCTGAAACGGCCGGTTTGATGTTAAAGCACTAACTATATATTCTAGCAGCCATCAGCTTGTGGATCTCTGTATTTTGCCTCAATTATGTAAGGTTGAACTCCTTCCAGGTGGAAATATCCCTCTGTCTGATATTATCTGTGCTCATCACCATAGTTTTCTTTGAGGGAAGTCTCCTTTAGACTGAATGGAAATGTTTAAAAATTCCAAACTAATTATACTGAAACTCACTTATTTGTGCCAATTCTAGTAATTTCATATAATTGCCATCTCTAGAGTCTGTTCTTAAGAGAATCCATGAAATCAAGGTGACTTGCATGATAAATATGTAGAAAAAATAATTTTCTAAGCTCACTTTTTTTCTTTTTCTTTTTTGTTATATTTTGCATTGGGGGTTCTCTTGTTACATTTATGTTTCTTTATTAGACTTGAACAGTTGTTCGAAATGACTTTTTACATTATTCAAACACATAAAATGAATTGATTTGTGATTATGGCATTAGGGAATTATCTTACATTTTATACATCTATTCTAAGGTGACATGAGAACCTACTGCCTTATGACCAGAGCTTAGATTTGCTTTTTGCTGTGTACCTCAGATAACGAGCTTAGCTTGCTATGAAGAATGACTTTGACATAAACGTTTTAGCTAACTTAGCTTTAGCTAAACAAACCAAAGTTTGATGTAAACTTAAATGTGTGGTCCAGCACAGAATGTTTCTTAGCTTTTACCAAAGTGTAGTATTCGTCAGTGGCAAGCAGTTCCTGGCCCAGTAAGGTCTTACACAAAAGGGTGGTTTCCTGAGTAATCCACTTATTTAACAGTTAGTCTGAGGAAAACTGACAGCTCAACCACACAGCCAGTCCACTGATGTTTCTGTACTGATAAACATAAAGTTACATCAAACCGAAAGCCTGAAGCTTGTCTAATTTTGACGAATATCACACAAACTCACTATCAAGCCAGAAGCCATGCATTGTGGACAAGCCTTGGAAAAAGGAACAGTTCAAAGAGACAGACTACGTGTCTCAGCAAAATGTTTACAGCAACAATAACATTCTGGATGCTCAGCTTGTGACAGGCATGGGCATATGGGTTTAGGTATAGGGTTTGTTATGATCAATTTTCTTGTTGGTTCTTTGTGATAATTACTCTGTCCAGATTCTCTGTGTTGTCTCTGTTATTGTCTCTTGGTTCATTCTTTCATGTTCAGTTTCATAGTTTACTCCTGTGCTCTGTCTTGTGTGTATTTTCATTTATTTTTCTTAGTTGTTTGTCAGACTTGTTTCATCTTTAGGTTCGTTTTTGTCTCAGATTAGTAAGATTAAATTGATATTTGTTTATTTTTATTCATTTGATAATGAATCAGTAGACTTTTGTTTGTAGCCTTCTCTATATTAAACACCCTGACAGTTCACCACAGATATTTACTCATACAACAAACTCCAAGCATTCTTTGCTGGAGGGTAATATTTGACTAAACCAGTGTCATCAGTTAAATTATAATCAAATTTTGTAAGCAGAATTTGTCAAAAAAAAAAAAAGAATTGTTGCAAACTGAACATTAGATTTGTAAACTACAAATTGAAATACATTTGATAGGTAAATTTGACCTGCTATCTGATAGGCGAAATTGCATAGTTCAGCCATAACTGTAATTCTGCTGATTTTTTTTTTTTACCCTGTAAGATCTTTATATTTTACAGACCTGAGCTGCCCGTATACTGACTGGGTAGAGATACATGTCATTCCTTGTTCTGCCCAGAAATTGAAGAACAATTTCTGAGCAGAAATTGTTTGAGTGTTGTTGCCTGTGAATGAGCCCTCTAGAGGACTCATGGTATGCACAGAATGCCTATGCACGGGCGTGTGTGTGTGCGTGTGTGTGTGTGTGTGTCTGTGAGGCAAGCCCCATGTTCACATCTGTGTGAGTACAGAGTCGGGAGAGCTTGTCCAGTGCCAAAGGGAGTTACCATAGTGCAATGTTTGGATCATACTAAATCGATGGAACTCTCCACACAAACAAGATTTAAGGATGAGTGACCGACACTGCAGGCCACGGCTTGCCAGGTCTCTGAATCCCTCATCTCAGCAGCGTGGCAAGGCTGTAAACCAAAGCAGGATGATGATACCAGTGAAAAACAAAAACAAAACAAAAAAAAAATCACCCAGTTTAGACCGGGATATCTCTTGAAAACACCCCAGTCTAAACGTAACTGCCGTTGGAGAACCAAACTCGGGCCTCTCACCCACCGGCCCTTGAAGTTTTTGGCTCGGTCAGGTGGATTCCTGTGGTCTGTGTTAGTAAACACAGAAAGGAATGAGGCTGTTGGCCGCTGCCCGGGCCGTGGGCTGCCAGGTGAAGCAGTTCTGTGTGTCCTGGCAGAGCAGGAGTTGGGCAAAGAAGCAGAGCCCATTGACACCTTGAGCACTCAGCTGTAGCTGCTGCTGTTTGTGAAAATCTAATTGAAGCAGTGGTTTGGGGGCCTCTGGGAGGCAGAGCCAACAGCAGCAGGGTGATAAGATGAATAGGTCTGATCTAGTGGAAGCAGGTGGGCGCAAGCTGTACACAGAATCGTCAAAAGCTTGTCACGATCCTTAAAATATAAACCTTCATTGCAAGGGCGTAGGTTCGGTCTAAGTTTTGGTGG